GGCAGGGGGAGGGGAGGGGAGAATGGGGAGTGACTGCTTAATGGTATGTGGTTTCTTTTTGGGGTGATGAAATGTTATTGAATTAGATAGTAGTGATGGTTGCACAACCATATGAAGATACTAAAAAACACTACATTGTACACTTTAAAATAGTTAAAGTTGTAAATTTTATGTTATCTCGATTTAAAAAAAAAAAAGAGTACAAAAGCTTGAGATCCATTCTACCTGTATTTGAATCTCCAGGGTACCCTTTACTAGCTGTATGCGACCTTGGGCAAGCTACCTCTTCTCTGCCTCAGTCCCCTCATCTGGTAAATGGGGTAGTAACAGTAGCCATCTCATAAGGTTGTTGTCAGCAAGGTCCAGGCGTTTGGGGTCCATCCTGGCCTTGATGGGTCAGGGGAGGGATTATGTACTCATCCCCAAACCTTCCCACTCAAGATCTTGCAAACCGAGTGGTCTGAGAGCCCCCTCCCCTGTCAACGTGAAGTGGAGACCCACTCCTGGGCGGCCCCAAAGTGGAAACCGGAGTGAATCTCCCTTCCAGACCCACTGCTTTGGGATGCAGGCTGAAGCGGCCGCGGAAGAGGTGTGCGCTGCAGCGCGCCGCCTAGTGGCACCTTCGAGCATACCAGTACCGGCCGCAGGGTGAAGCGCCAGCCAAAGGCTCCAGCCACGCCTGCAGGGCACCCTGACAGCTGCTCCTTATTATAAAATAAATGGCTTGTACTCAGCCAGATTAGGGCATTCTGTATATTCTTTTTAATCCCACGAGCTAGTTATTGTTCCCATTTTATAACTGATGGAACTGATGCTTGGAAAGGCTCAGCAGCCAGCCCAAGTTCTCCCAGCAGGTAAGAGCAGCCCCACGTCTGGTTTTCCATCAGCTCAGCTCCAGATTCCAGAACTCTGTCTCCAACACTCACTTGTGATTTGGGATAAATGAGGGTAGCCCATGGAAGCACTACAGCCCCCGCTAAGTGTCAGAACTAGCTCTGAGACTGATTTTAAAGCTGCTATATTGCACAAAGGCTGCCCCACTTCCAGCCTCAGGCCCCATAAACCCCCTAGGAAATGGAGGGGAGGTGGGAGGCTCCTTCCAGGGCTCATTTGGCAAGACTGTAGGCCCTTTAACCAGTAACCCCTCTTTCCCCAGCCTCACTGATGCGTCCACTCAACCAATATTTATGTATGCTTACTATGCGCGGGACAGTCTGAGGTGCTGGATATATCATGGTGAGCAAGAAAGGGGAGGCCTGGCCTCCAAGCAGCTCACTGCCTCATCCACATTCATTCATTCATTTATTTATTTATTTTTAATTAATTCATGTTTTGGCTGTGCAACGCGGCATGTGAGATCTTAGTTCCCTGACCAGGGATGGAACCCACACCCCCTGCATCGGACCACCAGGGAAGTCCCTCATCCTCTTTCTTAACTCACAGCAGGACCTCTTTGCTGTGAGTCTGATGGCACTGGGTTTGGGAACACCCTGGTAAGTCTTAATCCAGCTGCTCCAGTGTGTCATCCCAGGGCCAGGGCCTTGCCCATTCTTCACCCATACTGGGGGAAGGTGTGGGCTCAGGGCAGTCTGACTCCCTCTGAAGTCCTTTCCCTGGCCCCAGCTGAGGGCCAGCACTTGGAGATGCCCAGGCTGGGAAGCAACCACACCCCCAGTGGTTGTTTAGCTGCAGGTGACTGGGGAAGGGGCGTTCTGGACACTGGAACACTGGAACAGCAGGGGATCGGGTGCAGGGGAGTTATGGAAGGACCCTAATGTGGTAAGTCCCCTACCCCGGTATGGGAGTCCTGGAGGGAAAGCAGGGTCTAGGGCCTCCCATGGGCATATTTCTACACTGGGGCTTGGGGGAAATGGGACGAGGGCCAGCAGAAGACAGGGAAATGGCCACTCTCCTTTTGCCTGCACACCCTCCCCGCCCCGTCCCCCTTCTCTCCAGTTAGAAATTAAAGTCATGAAACCTGACATTAGGACTAGAAGGGCCTGCCTGGTGCAATTACTGTCTGAACAGCAAAGTTCTGAGCACTGGAACTTTTTTGAAAAATCTCCAATAACCCACCGTCCTTCTGGTTAAGAGAGAGAATGAGACAGAGAGAGTGAGCGCGCCTGCCCTGTGGTCCCTGTTTGCCGAGGTTCTACTGAGGTCCCTGCTGAGTTATCCAGCATAAAGCCCTTGACCTTGTGCCTGTGCCAGGTGTTGACAGTCAGATGCTGGGCCTCGGATGTGTCCCTATATATGTTGCCTGGTGAAAGTTAAGCATCTAAGTATCTATTTGTCTTTAGCGTCATCTGCCCAAGAGTGTATTTGTGCTTTTGGATGTGCGTGCCTGTGTGTGTGTTCATGTCTGTGATGAGGTGTATGTGTGTGCTTTTTAAAATCCTGTGTCTTAACTATGTGGGTGTCTCTGCAGTTGGGTGCCCCTGTAATGTTTTGGGGAGGGTCATTTTGCACCTGTATATGTTTGTTGTATGTTTGCTCGTGTGTACCTTTGTAGGTGTGCCTGTAACTGTCTAGGGCTGCGTGTGCGTATGTGTGCTTCTACTTCTGTGGCTGGGTGGGGCTGGCTGGGTGTGATGCGCTGTTGACTCCCTCACCCACTGCCCTTGCCTGGGCCAAGCTAAAAATAACCCACTTATCTTTGCCCACGGGGACCTTTCTCAATTGGCCTAAGTTCTTCCCAGGGAGTCCCACTCACCCACATCCACCCTCCTGGTCCTGGGGGCCTGGCCAGGGAGGGCTAAGGAAGTAGAATGACCACATGCACTCTCCCCCACATGTTCCAGACCCCAACCTGTGGGGGGAGTGTGTGTGGACGGGGGTCCTGGGCAGTCCTGCCTGTCTCTCTTCTCTGGGGAAATAGCTGGGGCAGGCCCTTGTTGCTTCTCTGCCCCCTCCAGCAACCCTTCCAACCTGCAGTTCTGGCCCCCAAGTCCTTTCTCCTCCAGTCTAGGAAGCGCCCCTGGGGACACTGACCCTATTCCAGAGTACCCCCCTACTGGCTCCTGGGCCTGGACCAGAGAGAGGCTGGACCTCTCTCTGCCTTCCTTTACCCCTTCCTGAAGCAGCCACTGCCTCTGTGTTTGAGGAATGATTCCAGATCCCAGTTCTGGAAAAATCCCAAGTAGTGAACAGATCAGTAGTGAACAGATCAGTGGGGAGGAGGCATTCCT